CACACACTCCCTCACTTGCTTCTGCCTCCATTCCAGGCGGGGCGGATCCTGATCCCCACCAGTCCGTGCTCATCGAAGGCCGGGGTGCTGGGGCCTCGGAGCCTTCTTCCCAAGCCACGGGCCCCCGGCCGGAGGAGGAGCCCCAGAAGCTTGACCAGCTTGACCGTGAGTGAGAATCTACAGTCCTCTGGCCGCAGCTGGGGACTGACTGCCGGGGGTAGGGGGGTGGGAGGGGGACAGCTTAGGCCTTGGTCGCTCTCTGGCGAGCACTGACCTGCCCCCTGGGGCTCCTGGCCACACTTACTTTAGGGTTCCACGAAGGGAGTCACAAGAATTATGTGCTAATGAGCATGGGACTCTTTGTTATTCTCTTTAAACTTAGAAAAGGAATTTAGAAGAGAGGAAGATAGAATTTATGTATATATTTAAATATATCAGAGTGGACAGAACAGTTCTATGCACACTCATATGCTCACAGTTGTTAACAGTTGGCCATATTTGCTTTGTGAGTGTGTGTGTGTGTGTGTGTGTGTACATTCGTTGCTGAACCATTTTAAAATAATGCTTCATCCTTAAATACCCATCCTTAAATACCCAAGAAATAAGGACAGTCTCATACACAACCACATGCCTGGTATTGGCCCTAATAAAATCAATGCTGCTCCATTAATCTACTTCCCTGTACAGAATGGGCATGTTTTTAAAGCTATGAAACAGGAGCTCTCTGCCCATCAAAGGATAAGTAAAAGGCATTCAGCTGGTCATTGTGCCAGATGTTTATTTTACATGCTAACTGTTTCTCACCTGAGAGGGAATCAGCAGGTAGACAGAGTCCGGGAGTAAAAGCCAAGCAGGGTTAAGTGGGGGGCAGGGGGGGGGGCGCGGAGAAAGAGTCTACGGACATCCTGGGACCAGCTGGCAGCTAGCAGAGGCCACTGTGGGCTCGCTGTCCTTGCAGAGTGGCCAGGGCAGCAAAGAAGACCCTGATGTTGCTCGTGACTTCTCTGCAAAGACTGGGTAGTGTGGTTATGTATCAACTCGGCCGGCTGTCTGTCTTGTGGGCTGGAGTCCCTCCGTCCTCCAACCCCACCCGAGGCCAGGCCGGCACCCTTAGAAATAAGGACAGTCTCATACACAACCACATGCCTGGTATTGGCCCTAATAAAATCAATGCTGCTCCATTAATCTACTTCCCTGTACAGAATGGGCATGTTTTTAAAGCTGTGAAACAGGAGCTCTCTGCCCATCAAAGGATAAGTAAAAGGCATTCAGCTGGTCATTGTGCCAGATGTTTATTTTACATGCTAACTGTTTCTCACCTGAGAGGGAATCAGCAGGTAGACAGAGTCCGGGAGTAAAAGCCAAGCAGGGTTTCTAACTGAGAGCGAAGTGGGGGGCGGGGGCGGAGAAAGAGTCTGCGGACGTCCTGGGACCAGCTGGCAGCTAGCAGAGGCCACCGTGGGCTCGCTGTCCTTGCAGAGTGGCCGGGGCAGCAAAGAAGACCCTGATGTTGCTCGTGGCTTCTCTGCAAAGACTGGGTAGTGTGGTTATGCATCAGCTCGGCCGGCTGTCTGTCTTGTGGGCTGGAGTCCCTCTGTCCTCCAACCCCACCCGAGGCCAGGCCGGCACCCTTTCAGCCGTTTCTCCGACGGCATTTTGCAGGTTGGAAGGTCAGCGTTAGCCTTGAAAAGTATTTCCAAGCGCAGCCCGTCATTTGATGGCCTGACAGCCTTCGGAGGGAAGCAGAGCAGGGATTACGATCCACATTTCACAGGGAAAGAGATGAAGGCCCAGAGAGATTAGGAAATGTAGCCAAGATCACATAGCTTGCTCAACCCAAGGCAGATATTCACAGACCTGTGTGTTCTGAGGAAACAGCAGGGCACCAGGTGAACGCCTGAAGGACTGACCTGCAATGTCTTGCGTGAAAGTTCATGCCTTGGCCCAGTGCCCTTCCCCCGTGGACCTCCCAGCCTCTCAGAGGAGCAGCCCTGGGATGTGGTGCTTCCTGCCCCGTCTGAGGCCTCAGGAGATGCTCTAGGGCACCCCGTTCAACACAGGAGGCCCCTGCTGGTCTCAGAGTCCAGCACAGTCATTAGGAAGCGCGCTCTGTGCATCTAGAGCAGCGGTTCTCAACCTGTGGGTCGCGACCCTTTTGGCGGTCGAACGACCCTTTCACAGGGGTCGCCTAAGACCATCCTGCATATCAGATATTTACATGACGATTCATAACAGTAGCAACATTACAGTTATGAAGTAGCAACGAAAATAATTTTATGGTTGGGTCACAACACGAGGAACTGTATTTAAAGGGCCAGAAGGTTGAGAACCACTGATCTAGAAAGATTCACCGGAATCCACTCTCTTCCAGAGGATACTATCATCCAGATGATAGTGCAGCTGCTCCAAGCCGTGGGAGACGAGTGGGATGAAGAGGTGAGGAGCCAAGGAGAGGTGGGGATCCCCGGGGGCTTGATGCTTCCTCCCCCTCCTCCTCGTCCTCCCACTCCCCCTCTCCCTCGCTCTCTCCTGCCCCTTCTCCCCCTTCTCCTCCTTCTACCTGCCCTACCTGCCCTCCAGGCCTCCCAGCCCCCCTGCTCTGGACTCTGTCACCCCCTTGCCTGGGGACACCCCCTAGCACTTGGCTGCCATTGAGTTGCTTCTCAGGGAGCTCTCCTCTCTCCTCAAGGTCAGGGACCTGGCCCCGTTTTTCCCAGGCCCCCTACAACTTCAAGGCTCTCGGCGAGAAGTGGCCCCACAAAACCCAGCCCCAGCCGTCGTCAGGAAGAAATCCCAGGAGAGAAAGTCCAGCCTCAGGAGAACCTCTTCTCATAAGAGGCAGGGCTCCGAGGAGCCCAGGAGAGCGGGGGCTGCGGATGCTCCCAGCCCGGAGTCCCGGCCGTCCAAGAGGCCCAGCTTCCTGTACATGTGCGTCGGGGGCCACCGGGCCTCCATCTCCAGCAGCGTTGGTGAGCAGGCTCACGGTTACCATAGCAACACTGCGGCTGCCTCCAGCTCTGGACGCTTCCCCTGGGCTGGAGCTGGCCGTGAAGAGCAGCCAGCCCCGTTGACCTTTGTTATTCCCTGAGCAACATGGGGAGGCCCGTGGGGAGAGAGGGGTGCCAGCGGGCCACCTCCACACACCAGACCTCCGGGCCGAGGCCCCCAGTGGGAATTGTATTCAGGGACCCCCATCGTCCTCATCTCTGCACCCCAGCCTCCACACCCTGGCAGCGGGGGGCTGTGCAGGACGGAGGAGACTGGGAGGCGGGAGACCTGGGTTCTGGGCTGTACTCCCTATGTCGTTCTCCATCTCCGTGCCTCACTCTCCTCGCCTGTAAACCAGGACACCTGCCCACTGTGGATCTAGATCAATGAGCCCTCGGCCGTTTTATTACCTCCATTTTACAGATGAGGGAACTGATCGTTAGGGGGCAAAACAGCGGTCAAGGTCATGGCCCATCAGTGATGGAGCCAGAGCCAGAGGGAGAGGATCTCCTGGGTGCCAGCGGGAGCAGCCTATTTAAAAGGAGGGGCAACGCTTTGAACCAGAGAGTGGGTTTTCCTGCAGCGGATTCTGGACCAAAGTGCTGACTCATTCTACGCACTTACTCTCCAACTAGTGGATCAAGCCAGGCTGGTGGAGGGGTGAGGTCACTAGGGGAGGGAGGCGAGGGAGTAAGCCCAGGAAGCCAGGTGTTCAAATGCAAGGCCCTGCCCAGCAGCTCACCTCCACCCGGCTCACTCCCCCGGCTCACTCCCCCGGCTCAGATATTCAAATTCTGGCCACAGAGCGAACAGTGAAGGCTCTGTCGCATCTGTGCAGTAGTTAACAGCCTTGAACTAACAAAACACACTCACCATTTCATTTTGCTTCTCAGACTTGGAAGAACCTGAAGTCCAAGAGGCCTCGTCTACAGATTGTGGGGGTCCAAGTCCCTTCGAGCTTCCCATCCACTCAGGAAGCCGGGAGCCCGGAGAGGACTTGCAGCCGGACAAAGCCTCGGAGTGCAGTCAGTACCCCTCGCCTCACCCCCCCGCCCCCCGGGTCCCTTCAGAACGTCTGGCCTGACCCCTCCACTTGCAGAAGGGAAACTGAACCAGAGAGGCAGAGACTTGTCCTGACCTCTGAGTGCGGTGGGCGCCCAGCCACACCGCGGTCACCCCCTGTCTGAGCCTCCGCTGCGAAACGCCCTCCTTGGGGGGCGGCCATAGGTGCTTCGGGGAGGCATTGGCTCACGTCATGGGCTGGGTAGAGGTGTGATTTAGGGCCTGGGTTTGAATTTGGGCTCTGACCTCTTGCAGTCGCATCAACTTGGACAAGTTGCTTCTTCTCTGGCCTCAGTTTCCTCATCAGTATAATCCTATCTAATAATAGACAAAGATTGAAATTAGCTGTACCTCCGCTACACCTCCCATTGGCTAATCAGCGAGATATTCAAATTAACCGCCAACAAAGATGGCGGCTAATTTGCATACTGCAGGCAGATCCCGCTGCGCTGCCCAAGGCGAGATCCTGGCCTGCCGTGTCTTGGGCGGGGCGGGCGGGGCGAACGGCAGCATGATCCGTGAGAGGGCGCAGGTTGGGCTGAGGGACCCCCCTTCCCTGCCAGTGCACAAACTTTTGTGCACGGGCCTTCTAGTGGGGATAATAATAGTGCCGACCGCATAGAGCTGTTGGACGCACTAAAGGAGTGGATGCCCATGCAGCATTGAGAGCAGTGCCCCTTCGCAGCTGATAAACGTTAGCTGTCATTTGTTGTTATCACTATTGTTGAGGCTGTTCAGAGCCGCAGGGGAAGCAAAGAGGATGGGAAGGGGAAGGGCCACAGGAGAGAAGCTCAGCAAATGGCAGCTGCCCTCACGATCATTACTGTTTCATGGCGGGTAAAAACCATTTTCCTGTTTTCCTCTCACCTAATGGGGGGGGGGGGCACCCCAGGCCCTCCCTGGGGACTGATCATGACTATGTCCCCTTGAAGTTGGCTCTGCCCTCGGGCCCCGCCTGAGGGATCTGTGAGTCCCGTGGGTCAGGACTGGGACAGCGGAAATGCAAGCTCCTTCGCACCTAGGAGACCGGAGAATCGCCCACCCGGGGCCTTAGGAAATGAAGACTGACCCACACTTTCTATGTCCTTTTTTAGAAGAATTTATCCAGAAGATCGTCGCCCTACTCCAAGATGCACAGGGCCTTAGGAAATGCAGACTGACCCACACTTTCTTCTGCACTTTCTTTGTCCTTTTTTAGAGGAATTTATCCAGAAGATCGTCGCCCTACTCCAAGATGCAGAGGAGCAGGAGGGGGAGAAGGTGAGGAGGACGTTCCCCGCCTAGGCCCTGACCCTCACTATGGACCCGGGTCCCTGCCTGGCACCATCACTTCCCTGCCCTCCCCAGTTCTACATCCTGCCAGAACCCTGCTCCGCCCCTCCTTCCCCGTCGCCGCAGGCTCCCTCTCCACCCCTGAGCATCAGTGGCTCTTCCCTCTGGGCCACACACCCCCTCTGGCCCGCATGGGTCTCTCTTCGTTCCAGGGGATGCTGGTCTCTTTCCCCAGCTCACTTGCAATTTCCTCAAAGTCCAGGGCCTGACTCACTATGGACCCGGGTCCCTGCCTGGCACCATCACTTCCCTGCCCTCCCCAGTTCTACATCCTGCCAGAGCCCCGCAGGCTCCCTCTCCACCCCTGAGCATCAGTGGCTCTTCCCTCTGGGCCACACACCCCCTCTGGCCCGCATGGGTCTCTCTTCGTTCCAGGGGATGCTGGTCTCTTTCCCCAGCTCACTTGCAATTTCCTCAAAGTCCAGGGCCTGACTCGATCTCTCTCGTCTCACCTGCAGCAACTCCAAGTCCAGGAGCCAGAGGTGGCCTCGGAAAACCCGGCCCCACCCTGCAGGAAGAAATCCCAAGAGAAGAAGTCGAGCTTCCGAAAAGCCTTTTCCCATAAGAAGCATGGCTCCAAGGAGCCCAAGAGAGCGGGGCCTGCAGGTGCCGCCAGCCCCGAGTCCCGGCGGCCCAGGAGGCCCACCTATCTGCCCCTGTGTGTGGGGGGCCATCGGCCCTCCATCTCCAGCAGCGTTGGTGAGTGGGCCTGCTGTTGTCATGGTAGCAGAGGCAGCCTCTGACCCCTGGCTTCCTCCAGGGCAGGGGCTGGCCAGCTGCATGGCCTCTGGTTCAGTCTTGACTTTTGCTCTCTGCTCTGAACAGAGCGGGGAGGTGCGGGAGGACCGTGGGGAAGGAGAGGGGCGGGCTGCTGGCAGGACCCACCACTCCCCACACTCCCCGCATCCCACACACACACTCCAGCATTTGAAAGCAAAGGTGGAAGGAGAACAGTGCCTCTGTGCATTAGGCAAGTGCACCCGCTAATGGAGAAGCACAGGCCGAGGTCTGATGAAGGAAGGTAGGCTGGGGCTGTCTTTCGCTGCTCTGAGTGTGAGGACCGCTGGGCACAGTGATCCCCTGGCCTCTGGAGTGATTCTCCATGCCACGCGCACACATAGTATCTCATTTAACCAGCTCACAACCTGCGAGGCCCGTCTTGTTACTCCCATCGGACAGATGGAGAAAGTGAGGTTCCCACAGGCTAAGGGACTGCAGGGTAACAGGGAAAGTGAGTTCACCTGGTGGGACCTGTTGGCAGGCCTGCTTGTTTTCCTCCCGGGCAGAGAGGAGGCCGAAGGGCTGAGAGGAGGCCGAGGGATTTCGGGAGGGGGCAGGTAGAGTCCCATGAACTCCTCTGACGTGGGCCCGTGGGGCGGGGCTCACCCAGGAGCCTGGAACAGAGGCCCCACTCCTGCCAGTGCCTGTGGACACTGCTGTCAGCCCCGGGCGCAGTGACGCGCTTGAGGACTTGGTGCAAACACATTCACACCAGCTCCTTTTGCCCCAGATCCGGAGGGTCCTGAGTTCCGGGAGTCTTCGCCTGCAGAAGGGGGACGAGATGGATCCTCAGAATCACCCTCCCAGGCCAGAAGCCACGAGCCAGAAGGGAGACCTCTGCCGGACGGAGCGTGTGAATCTAGTGAGTACCACCTGCTCTCACCTGGGACGGTGCCCCGTGGACTTACCAGGCTGAGCCCGAGTAGGGAACTGGAGGGCAGCTGGCAAATGTCCAGGAGACTGGAAGGCAGGGAGGGGAGGGGAGCCTTTCAGCTGGGGCTGCCGGGGCCGAGTTGGAGACTGAGAGCCTTCTTCAGGCAGAGAACACCAGTCTATTCTAAGGGATGTAACTTCACGCCACCCACCCCACACCATTGGTTTGCTCGAAGATTTCATTAATTCCTAGCTTGCTCCGGGTCCCATAAGGAGAGGTGTGCTGGCAAGCAGGCTGGGCTGGGGGAGGGGTGGTGTCAAGCAGGGAAGCCCGATCTGCAGCCTTTGCAGATTTCTGTGGTACAAATATCCCCACTGTGGCCAATTTCAACTGCTGGCAGTTGATAATCAGGGCCCACAGCCTCCCCGACCATTTGCAATGAACCCTTGGTCTGAGCAGCCCCCCCGCACACCGCTGCTTACAGCCTAGCCGGTGGGGACATTCCCGCTCCATCCGTAGCCGGGAAGTCTCCCTCCCCCTTTCTGGTCCCAGCTCCATTCCTGACCCTGAAGCCTGGGTGGGGACATCGAGGGCGCAGCTTTCGTATCTGTCAAGTCACTGTGGCCAATTTCAACTCCTGGCAGTTGATAATCAGGGCCCACAGCCTCCCCCACCATTTGTAATGAACCCTTGGTCTGAGCAGCCCCGCACACCACTGCTGACAGCCTGGCCGGTGGGGACATCTGGCCGGTGGGGACATTTCCGCTCCATCCGTAGCCGGGAAGTCCCCCTCCCCCTTTCTGGTCCCAGCTCCATTCCTGACCCTGAAGCCTGGGTGGGGACATCGAGGGCGCAGCTTTCGTATCTGTCAAGTGGCTGCGGGGGAAGCGTGGCCGCCCAAAGCCCCTTCTATTTCCGTAAAGCAGCCAGGCCCAGCTCTCAGGCCCAGCGCTAGCTCGGGGAGGACGCCCCTCTGCCCTTCACGACCAGCCTGTGCTGTGTGTTAGACACAGTCGTCTAAGCCACGTGTGACGGCACCACGTGCCCACTCTCCTTTATCTTCCAGAGGAGCTGGTCATCCAGCAGCTGGTGGCGCTCCTCCCAGGAGTGGACGGCCATTTGGGGGAGCAGGTAAGAGCACTCAGTCCCCCCGAGGCCAACCCCGGGGCCTCAGCAACCCACAGCGAAGACCTGAGTTCAACCCCCATCTCTCTGTCGGGGTGACCTTGGGCGTGTCCCTTAGCCTCTCTGAGCCTCACTTTCCTCTTTTGCAAACTGGGGGATAAATATCTTCTTAGCAAAGTTTAGTGCATAGATAGAAAGTGCCACACAGTTAGCAGATGAGATACAGGTTAGTTTAAAATAATATAAAGCTCGTGTGGCTCCCTGCCAGCCCGACCACCCCATCAAGTCCTCCCTGAAGCTCAGCTCAAGTCCCACCTCCGGGAGCCTCCTTCCGAGTCCGGGTGGACTTGACTGGGGGAGGTCCTGCACACCCTCAGCACCTATGTGACCTCCAGCTCGTTCAGGCTTCTAGATGTCCCTCCCCTGCTAGACAGCCTCTACGGACGGTTCCTTGCCCTGGAAACCTCCGTCTCCTCAGAGACACACACACAGATCGCTCATGAAGGGTCATTGGTGGGAGCGCAGGTCGCAGATGAGTGAGTCGTGTGGCAGACGCTGTAGGTACCTGACCTCACCGTGTAGCCCGGCCCAACTGCACCTGCATCCTTTGGCCTGAGGACTGGCCCCAGAGCCACTTTGCCACCCACGTGGTAGGTTAGAATGAACACCCTCCACCTCCCAGGAGCTGTCCTCAATGGCTGATGGGAGCTGGTGGGTGCACACCCCAGTCCCTCGCTCCGGGGCTGGTTTCTTGAGTGCCCGAGGGGACTGTGTGGCTGCTCTCCCATCCGAGCTCCTCATTTCCCATCAGGGTTTCCCCGGGATCATTTCCCCATAAGAGAGCCGCACCCGGACCTGTCTCTGCTCGGCCTGGGGAGGGGGAGAGGGGCGGGACCCAACCTAAGACATTTAGGTAGTAAGAGGAGGAGGTGTAGGGTGGGAACTAAAATTCATCAACATCTAGACCGACACATTTTACATAAACCACCTCATCAACCCCTCGCCGGGATAATCAGGGCGGGGCATCAGCCTCCCGTTTTCTACAGACCGAGCAGAGGCTCCGAGAGCTCTCGCAGCCGTAGGGGCGGTTAAACCCCGCTGTCCGGCTCCAAACACCTGCCCCTCGCCCCCAGGTTGTCCTGCTGTTTGCAGCGGGACATTGCAGAACAGATTCTGAGCGGCTGTGGGAGGAATGGAACCGGGAGCTTATCCCAGGGACAATGAGGCCGCCCGGCCTGGCTGCATGGAGTGAGGGAGAGGCCGTGGGTGGGAGGGTCGCCTGCCAGCAACACTGATGCCTGCCTTCATTTCTGCTTCCAGATCAGGCGACACCCCAGCCTTAAGAAGTTTTTCTACCAGCTCCCGGACGCCTCCCTCAGAAAGCTGGCGGCCACCCTGCGCAGACGGGGCGCCTGCTCCCCTGAGCCCCGCAGGGGCCTCCCGGAGAGGCCCTACCAGTTTGCCTTTGACTTGGCCAACAAGTACGCCGGCAGGAATGGGCACTCCGCCCTCAGCCTGATGGGCCTGCGCTACCCCCAGCTCCCACACACGGAGGCCCAGCAGGTGAGACACCGCGATGTGGCGCAAGTGACGAAAAGGTTGACAAGGTCGGGGTCACGTCGGGATCTACTCACTGCCTAGTTCAGGACTTTTGGGGTCCAGCTGAAGTGCCACCTCCTTGCTGAGGCCTTCTGACTCAGTTCTACACCGCGGTGACCTTTTTCTTTCCCCAAACCCTCACTGGCTTTACCTGATAATTAACATCTTCTTCATTTGGCTCTGGTCTCAACTGTGTGCGTTTCCATACTTTTTGTTAAAGGAATTCATCTTTTTTAAAAAAATATGTTTTTTAAATATATTTTTATTGATTTCAGAGAGGAAGCGAGAGGGAGAGAGAGATAGAAGCATCAATGATGAGAGAGAATCATTGATCGGCTGCCTCCTATTGGGGATCATGCCCGCAACCCGGGCAGGTGACCTTGACTGGAATCAAACCCGGGACCCAGGCCACTGAGCCAAACCGGTTAGGGCTTTAAATATGTTTTTATTGACTTTAGAGAGAGAGGAAGGGAGAGAGAGATAGAAACATCAATGAGAGAGAAACATCCATGATCAGCTGCCTCCTGCACGTCCCCTACTGGAGATTGAGCCCACAGCCCGGACATGTGCCCTGCCTGGGAATCAAACGGCGACTTGGTGTATGGGACAACACTCAACCAGCTAAGCCACACCGGCTGGGCCACTTTCATGCTTTTTGATATCAGCCTGGGATATGGGACTGGCTGCTGTCTTAGCTAACCCTCTTATTGTTCCATGGGTTCTGCTGCGTGGCTTCCCAATCTGAGACTGCCATAAAACTGAAATAATGAAGCAGAGTAAGGTTGCATATCAAACAAGGACTGGAGGAGTGAGCACCCGGGGGCGCTCCTTCACAGGCCTGGGTCCTTGGTTAAGACCCTCCCCTGCCCCACGCTCACTCTTCTGATTGCCTCATGCTTCCCCCTCCCCCAAGACTCTGAGATTCCCATTTAGAAATAACACTCACCACTGATTTTTTTAAAAATATGAGTTTTCACATGCACTCTGGAAGACTCGGATAAACAGTTTCCCCCACTCCTTTCAAATCCACTTAAAATAACCTGCTTACAAACACTGGACCCAGATCTGTAGAGCAGAAGCTACTGAATGAGGGTGTGACTTTAGAGCAGTGGTTCTCAACCTTCCTAATGCTGCGACCCCTTTAATACAGTTCCTCATGTTGTGGTGACCCCCGACCATAAAATTATTTTCGTTGCTACTTCATAACTGTAATTTTGCTACTGTTATGAATTGTAATGTAAATATCTGATATGCAGGATATATTTTCATTGTTACAAATTGAACATAATTAAAGCATAGTGATTAATCACAAAAACAATATGTAATTATATATGTGTTTTCTGATGGTCTTAGGCGACCCCTGTGAAAGGGTCGTTTGACCCCCCAAAGGGGTTGCGACCCACAGGTTGAGAACCGCTGCTTTAAAGGAAAGAAATGTTCTTTTTGTTGGTGTTGGACACACAGAACCAGAAATTTTACATCCTAATGCCCCCCCCCACCCCCCCAGGAAACGGGAGCATCATTGCAATGTTGTCACCATCACTCAAATACTCTGTCTTCCTCTCCTGGAATGAATTACCCTTGGAAGCCATGTGCTCAGTCTTACAAGCTACACATATTTGCTGCTTGTTATTCAAATGCTCTGCCCAACAGTGGCTTGTTCTCCCGGTGAGAACTCCTTGTGACTTCACACCTCTCCTTTCTCAGCCTTACCTTCTTCTCCCGAGAATGGGGATATTACAGGTCACTTGGCCTGTAGGTAATAGTTTATAGAGCGATCTGAGTTCTTTGTGGAAGATATTGGAAACATCAGTTCTGACATCCTCAGTAGCCCTAATTCCTTCCTCTGGTTTTATCATTCCTTCACTCATTCATTCATCCACTTACTCATTCAACCAGTAGATAGTGTGCAAGGTGCTGTGAGGGCCTGTGGGAGGTTCTGCTAGTGGGAAAAACAGACTGATCCCTGCTGACAGAGTTAAGTATCAATTCCATGCCAAATTAGTGGTAACTGAGGTCAAGAAAGCAAGTTGGCTCTGGGAGACTTCCAGGAGGTGGCAGGCATTGATTTTCACTTTCGAGGCCGGAGAGGCTGTAGATGGGGAGAAGGGACCAGGAGGGCACTGTGGGCAGAAGGCACTGTGTGAGCAGAGACCCGGAGGGGGAGCTGGTGTGGTGTGGTGACGAGTGAAGGAGACGTCTATTGTTATCACACGCCTTGGGCTCTGGCTAACACCTATGTTCCTTTTCTCCTCAGAACATCACAAGTCTTGACTTCCAGAGTCCAGATTGAAAGCTGTGCCTTGCACTCAAGTGCCCTTGAACTAGCCAAGCAATTGGTGGCTTTGCCAGGAGACCCCGAAGATGCTCCATGATTGTCCCAATCCGCTGCTTCCCAGAGACGACTGCAGACAGAGGACAGCCTTCCGTGTCCTCACATCGCCGTGGGCGTGAGATGAGAACGCACGACGCATTCGCCCACGGAGCGAGAGGCGGACACACCCTGTTGGGAGAAATAACACTGGACTGGGGGCTTCAACTGGTGACCTGCTTCAAACTTGCTGCAAGACCCTGCATGTCCCTGTCCCCTCAGACCTTGGATTCTGGGTGGAGGGGACCCACTGTGTCCCTTCGGGCTCTGTGTTCCGAAATCTGTCTAAAGAGGGGTGGTGAGTGCTTTTACGCCTCCCCACTGAGCTGGAGGCACTCGCCAAATGAATGAATGAATGAATGAATGAACAGAAAGGTGGAGAACTCCTGAGATCCAGGCAGCTTGTCAGGCATCCCTGGAGGCCTTGCTCCTCAGCTGGGATTGTACAACCAGGGGTTCTGTCTCTACGCTGTGGGGTGGGGAGGAAGTGGGGGAGCCACCTGGACAAGCACTGGACCAAAGTCTGCATTCTGGGGACGACCCTGGTGCCCACTTGTGCCCTTGAGTGTCTCCTGGTTTTCACTTTCATTTAAGAGTTACCAAGTCCTTAATCTTATTATTATTATTATTATTTTTTTTACTGGCATGTATTTTATTGACCCACAGAGCTAAAAATATGGCCACTAACATATAGAACACCTGCTGACATTTTTTCAGGTGCTGGTTTTAAATGAGTCTTAGTTTCAAAAGTACATTGAACCTCTCGCCAGAACATCCACATGCATTTAAACAGGTGTGCCTCTATGTGCGACACATCATTTATTCAGTTGACAGGGCCCACAGGGACTTGTAGACGCGGCCCAGGAACTCTGCAGGCCAGAGAGGGAAGACCTATGCACTGGGGCTCCTGGTCTCAGACCTTGCAGCCCTGCGTCCTGTGATTCTATGGGCAGAGAACGGAAGCCGGTGCCTTGCAGCGTCGCATGGGCGTTTGCCGAGAGCGAGTGAGAAGTGAGTGTGAAGGTTCTGAAGAAGGCACAGTGCCTTGTCCACTGTGTCATCGTCAGATAGTGTTATTACAGCCACAGTGCGGTAGTTTTCAGGAAATGGGGAGGGTTCCAGCTGGCTCACCATGGGCTGCACGGCGCGCTGCTCAGGGGCACCTGGCCCAGGAAGTGCTAGTCACCTCTGGGCGTTGTGCATTTGTAGATTTGTGAGGACAATTTTCCAGCTCATGCAGGGTCTCATTTGTGTCCAAAGGTGAAGGGTGGGCTGTCAGGGGCTCTGCTGTCTACCCAACTGAACAGTTTCAACAGTTTGGCCCCAGGGAGCCATTTCCACGTGCCATCACCTACAGGCACGCCCGCAGGGATAGGACCACAGCCTGACCCAGGGGAGGGTTGCTGACACCTGGATGGCAAACTCAGTCTTATCACTGAGCACCATGGGGTGGGGCTGGGTGGAGAAGCCCTGGGCAGAGAGGCCTTGGGTGTTCAGATGGGACTGACCTCAAACCTGAGGCAAAGTTTAGGAATCGCAACTAATCCCATTCTGAAAGTCATTTAGTGTTATTGCTGCTAAGAAGGGGTGGCGGGGAGGGGGGGGGTGAGCTATTTATGGGTTTATCTTAGGTGGTGTGTAGGAATACAGCGCCAAATGTGAAGGATGGGAACCAGTTTTAAATGGGGGTCAGGAACCTTCCGTCCGTGGTTTCTCATTCGGAATGGTGCTCTTTAAGCTGCATGCGTGTTTGGTATGAGCTCCCGATGCTGGCATCTGTCTCATTTTTGTACTGTGTTATTTGGACAAATAAAGAAACAATTTGCACTGAGGTCTCAGGTGGGTCATTCACAGTGGAGACAAGACGGGGGCCCACGGGCCATATCCAGGCCGGTCATGTGCCTGCAAGGCTGCGGGGTTGGCCTCCTCGTCCAGCCGGGGTCCCTGTCTGGACGCTATCCCGGTGTCCCCTCCTTGGGTGCCACCTTGCTGAGGCAGTGACAAAGGTGCTCCGGGCTGGGCCTCGGGCGGGAGAGGCTGCCCACAGGCTGACGACCTTGGAGACAGACACTTGCCCCCCAGACCTGACATTCTGCACCTCTGCGGCTCTTAGGGTGACAGTTCCTTGTTATGTCCCAGAAAATGTGGGCCCGGCCTCATTCTCAATCATCTGTTTTATCCGTCCTTAAATCCTGGCGCCCAAACTCTGTCACTCAGAACCAGGATAGACTTGGCAGAAGCCAGTGCCTGGTTTGGGTCTGGAAACGTGGTCTCCATTGGAAGGCATCGAAGGCCTCCTTTCCCCACTCAGATCACATGGGAGTTCTGCCGTGGCTCCTGGGGGAGGCGACCCTGTTGTGTGGTGGCTTGTGTTCTTTTCAAACCACATTTCCATTCCCCGAGCCCAGATGCTCATGGGGAGGGAGGAGAGGGCAGTACTAGTATCCTCACCTCCCAGATGAGGAAGCTAAGGCTCAGAGTGGGCGGTGCCTTGTTCCAGATCACAGAACCCCTGTTATAATGGCCCCCTTACTGTCTAATCCAGCGGTCCTTACGGACCTCACGGACCTTTAACCCATTAACTCCTATATCAAACCAGCATTTATCGAGCACTTACCACGGGCCAGGGCTGATGTAAAAGACACAATCCCGCCCTCGGGATGCTAATGAACCTCAGTGGTTATGGGACTTTTGTGCCGTTGGGAATACAGGGTGGGGGACACTGTACGAGGGTGGGCCTCCCTCAATTCAGACCCCGGAGGTTTGCAAGTGCCCTGCAGTGCACCCGACCCTGCTGCTTTGAAAGGCTTTTAAAGGTGGGCAAGTAACATCAGGACATAATTAAGCTAATTTCTCACCCTGAGCAGGCAGGAGGCTAAGCGGGTGAGTCTGAGACAACGGGGTCAGCAGAGAACTGGTGAGTTGGGGGTGTTAGCTGGTCACAGAGAGGGCCGCACCGCCGCTGTCATTCAGATTCGCTTGTTTGGAAAACCAGTGTGTTCTGGCCTTGGCCCCAGTGAGGCCTCCCAGTTTCAAAGCAGGTGACTGGCTTCAAAAAACAATCCATTCGTGTGTTTTTTGTTGTTTTTGTTTTTAAGAGCATAAAAAGGAGAAAGGAACTACTTTGGGTTACCAAATTTAGCAAGTAAAAATATGGTGGCCCTGTTAAATTTGAATTTCAGATATACAAAAAAAATAATAATAATTGCAATACTGGGGACATACAATACTGGGGACATACTTATACTAAATAAATACTCACTATTTATCTGAAATGCAAATTTAACAAAGCTTCCAGTATCTTATCTGGCAACCCTGAAACTAATGCAAGTACAATTCTCTTGATTACCTCAAATGGGGGAAAAGGAAAGTAAGCAAAATGAAGGAAAATATATAAGGGGACTTACTGATACTTATAACTACAGCATGAGAGCAGCTGGGCTCTGAATCCGGGCTCTGAGCTAGACAGCAGGTACTACGCTGTGCAGTTCTCCCTTGCACACCAGGGGACACGCACTCCTGAGCTGTGCAAACTGTCCTTCCCTCCCCGTCCCCATGGCTCAGGCCTCCGGGCACAGCCATCTGCACAAGGAGAGGCCTGCAGCGGAGGTCCGGGCTCCCAGAACCAGGCCCTCCCTGGGCCACAGAACCAGGCAGGCAGGGGTCCAAGTACACACGAGACTTGACTCTGCTCAGGCCTCTCCCAGGCACATCCAGGTCTTCCGGGCAGAAGCTTCTGAGGGGCTTGCGAAGACTCGTGTTCCCCGACGTGGTCCCGTTACGCGCAGGCTCCACCAGGGCCTCCTTCCATACGGCCCCCTCCCTCCGCGGCTAAATCTGCTCCGTCCTCCTGGTGCCCAGCCCCGTTCAGGGCCGCCTCCCACCCAGCCCCTAGGTTTGGGGTTCGGGGCTTGTTAGGCAAATGCATCTGAGGCTTTGGACAGCCTGGGCTCCCTCACTGGGCCGGTCGGGCTGGAGGTCACGACCACCCTGGGGCTGGAGGGGCTCCTTTTTCAGGACAGGCTGGGGAAACTGAGGCTGGAGGTGTCTTTCTTGTGGAACATTTCACTTCGGTGTGAACAGCGGAGTCTGCCCTCATTCGGGCTGGGGGAGGGGAGGGACGTCTGGCCCCATTTCCTCTACAGCCACACGGACTCAGGGAGGCCAGAGCCGCCAACCCCACTCACTGCCCCCCAGTTCCCGGAGCCGGAGGCGGGGAGGCTGCTGCCGCCTCAGCTCCATCAGGGGCTCCAGAGGCGGCCGAGGCGGCGGCCAGTCCACGTGGAGCCTTAAGTGAATGGAAAACAAAACTCAAGAACTTGGTCTCTTGACCCCACAGGAAACGGGAGAGTGTCCATGGCTCAGCCCTGCCGGACCCTCCAGAGTTTTGCCCCTCGGACTAGATCCCGCGGCTGGGACACATCTGGCCCCCTCTGGGGCTGGGGCTGGGGCTGGGGGGGAGCAAGGCCCCGGGCCCGCCAGCAGGAGGGCTGCGCTGCATGCTCCCCAATTCCCGTCCTTGTCCGCCCGTCTGTCCAGAGCAGGGGAGTGGAAGCTGAGAGGATGTGAAGACAAGAAGGTGCTCGCCCGGGGAAGCAGGACCCTCTACACCAACAGGCTTGATAGTGGGTGTCACCCTGGTCCCCCAAAGGCCAAGGGCGAGGGGACAGCGTCTGAGGACAGCGGGGAGAAGGCTCGGCTGGGTTCGTCAGGTTCTCTCCCGTTCCAGCTCGAGTTCTCGCTCTCGGCTCACAGCCTCCTGGAGAAAGGACACAGACTCATCATTGCTAAGTCCCCCGCCTCGGACTTCCCTCCCCGACTCCCAGGGAGAACATTCTCACAGCTGCGTGCCCTGGGGCGTCCCGGGCACGTGCCAGGCCCCACCATGGCCGCCTGACGCGTCCAAATCGGAACTCTCCATTTACAAAAGCCAGTTAGAAGTTCACTTCGTTACTAAGAGTGTTTGAAACATTATGGGTTTACAGAAGTCCGTTAATATGTGGGTTTTCGGGAAGGGAAGAGGCGGAGGCCCCGCACGCTGGCCAAGGATACACTGCCAACACAGGCGTAGGCCCCGCGCGAGCCTTATGGCACATGTTATTGTACGGCTTCCCATGCTATTTACACAGCTCTGTCGCTCTGTGCGTCACTCATACAGATTTCTGCAGTTAGCAGGCAATTGTTCTAACAAAAGCAGTGCATATGACAACCTTCCACAGCTGGCAGTCTAGTTCTCAGGGAAGGGGTGCTGTTTTCTTAGTGCACAGGCAGTGCATGGGCTAGTGTTGGCCTTGACTGTGACCAGGAAGAGGGGCAGGGTCAGGGAGGGGCAGGAAGGAAACTGGGTTGAGGGTGCTCAGGGGTCACCACAGCATCCCGGGACAGGGCAGTCGTGTCTGGCCTCCAGGGACACCCTGGGGAGTTCCACACCTCGGGGCTGCTGCATTCCTGGATCCCGCTGGGGTGAGGCCTGTAGGTGACCCACACGGTCTTGGAAGTGGAGAGCGCAGAGAAGTCGAGTGGGCAGGGAGCAGACCTGGGTGTGAGGAGAAAGGAGACAGAAACGGGGGATGGGAAGACCTGAGTTCCAAACGCTCCTCTACCTGCTGTGTGACCCTGGGCAAGTCACTTGCCCTCTCTGGGACACTGCAGGAAGGGCCTGCTGAGCCCCTTGGAGAAATGCTGGATGTGAATGTGCATATTCCTGGATACTTTCCAGTCTGACTGTGTCATTCTAGTGTTTAAACCCTGTGATGACTCCCCAGCACCACAGGCAAAGCCCAACCTCCTTAGCACGGCACCCTGCCCCGCCACGTCTCCTGTGCACCTCCGAGTGCACCTCCAGGCCTCTCCCTGCCCAAACGGAGAAACAGGACTAGACCCTGCGACTTCCGACTCTGACTCCAGCTCTGGGGGCTGCCGTGGGTGGCCAACACCTGGTGACAGACCCCTGGATTCAGATCCTGCCTCTGCCACCATCCAACTGCGTGACTTTGAGGATGTTCCTTAACCTCTCAGCGCCTCAGTGCTTAGAACCTAATAACTGCTATATAAATTTTAGCTGTAATTACTACATTCACATTCGAACAGGTGGAAATTCCATAATGACTCAAAGGAGAGGCTCTCCAGTGGTGGAAATTGGGGGAGTCCGACAGACTTGGTAGCAATTAGGGAAATCTGAGTAGCAGGTAGCAAGATGGACCTCTTCCCGTTCCACCTGCAGCCTGCAGGCAGTCTCTCAATTTCTCCTCTTTCCACTTGGAGGCCAGTTACACAACCCGAGTGAGGTGACGGACAAGGCGAGCAGAGGAAAACTATGCTGACACATATATCTGGCCATGCTCAGAGAAGGACCGTTCTGGCAAAAACTGCGGGTCCTGGGACAAAAGGCCAGGGAGCAGGCTTGACCCCAGCCTGTGGCCCAAGTAGAGCTAGTCCATCCAACCCATAGGCCCAGAAAGAGAAAAACAAATGTTTGCTTTGTAATGCATTGAGGTCTGGGGTGGGTTGTTTGTTATGCAGCATTATCATAGCAGCAATAACTGACTAATACAACTGCATCATAGTATGTATGGAACACCCACACTGTGGTTTTCATTCTAGCCTCTCTCGTTTTTGGTGGGAAGAATATCAGCTGGGGACCAGGAATTTACACAGGACTAGCCCGTGAATGAGACAGTGTCCCTGTGATTGTAGTTTGGGAGACAATGAGCAGATCACGCCTTCTTCTCTATGCCTAGCATTTTTGAGCTTCTCTTTTCTGCACCCTACCCTGGTGTTTGAAGCTCAGAGCAGTGGAATTACTTAAGCTCAATTGGTGAATTGCCTCCAGGCAGTTTCATAACCTGTTCTGGAAAGGAGCATTGCGGACAGAACAGCACGTGTGACCACCGACCACAGAGTCTCCCACAGCTTATGAATGTTGTTTTGTCTGTCTGACCCCAGCCCGCTTCTTCATAAAGCACCTGGATTCCTAGGAGTTTGTCCCCAAGCAGCTCTGGCTGAACTGCAGAGTTCCCACTGCTCTGACGTGTGGGAGACGCCTGACCCGGAATCAAGGGCCTGAGTCAGGGCTGGCTCCCAGATAGCACTCCCACGCCCCCTGCAGACCTGCCCCCATGCTCCTGACCTGAGCTTCTAGGGACAGAGATGTAGACACTCAAGGTCAGGGAAGTCTTGGAGTTGGACACCAAGGAACAGAGTGAGAATAATCCCAGGCTGCACTGACCCAGTGGCCACCGGGGGCCACCAACTGCTTGCTGGGTCCTGAAGCCTCCCTGCCCATCCCGAAGGTGCCTGGGGGTCTGGCCTGGTTCCGGTGGCAGTTCTGAGAACCTCCTCCCCACCATACTGCTTCCCACCACCCACCAGGTACCTACCCGCCCCAGTCCCTCTGCCTACCCAGGGACCCCTCCCGGGATAGGAGCAACCTGGAAGGATGTCCCTTAGAATGATTTAGGGATTTTTCTTCTGAGCAATAAACGCTTGAAGAAAATTAAATAGCAGCGCAGGTCTGCTCCTTCAGAGAATACTTTGATAATCCAGCAAAGTAATTACAGGTGATACCAGCTTGGTTTGTGTTTGAGGCTGGTGCGCTGGATTTGTCAGTGTGTATGTATGGCTCCATGTGCCTAAAAGAGAAGCTTGGGAGAAAAAAAAAAATAAATGAAGGCTTGGTTTCTGTGGGGCTCATAGTTGGTCAGATCGGTAGGTGTTATTTCGGTAGGTGTTATTCTTGTCTTTGGCCTGAAGTTCAAAGTTCAAGAGAAACTCTTGGAAGTTGGGATTGAGTTTAATTCACCTTTGATTTCCCCGGAGCCTAGAAGAGTGCTGGGCGCTTACTGGGTGCTCCGTCAATGTCGATCAGTGAAATCAATGACAATATAACATAGTCAAAAAGCTACAGGAAGCCGGCCTACGCTGGCGAGGGCTTTTAGCTGCAGGGTGGGAACAGTCAGGAGCTCTACGTGTTGAGGGTCACGTGGGCATCGGCCTGTCTAGTTTGGTTTTCTAGTGCAGTTCTACCCAGGAGCTGAGAGGTACTGGCCCGCCTCCGGGAGTTATATAACCTTGGCGTCTGCTAGTTGTTGGCTGCTGCTGCACATCTTGCTCCGTGCGAAGCACCGAAGCACCGTACTAAACGCTCACTGAGTGAGACCGTGGCTGATCGAGGATCTCATGTCGGGTGCGTCCTATTCCAAAGCCCAGCTCCTAGCCCCACTCCTGACCCCTCTCAGCCCTGTAATCTTCCTGCAGCCCATGCCCACGCCGCTCCTGCCCGTGGGATGTAAGAACGTTAGCCATGCTCACTGCACTTTGCTGCCTGGCTTTTTGGGTCGCGGATGTCTCGGGAAGCCTTTTCTGGTGCCACTTGTCTTTGGTTTGTTCTTCTTGAACGCCTTGTTCACCCAGTTGGCGTCTCCGGCAGGGCTCGCCCTGGGCAGAGAGAGGGGGTAGTGGTTTGTTAGTGACGGTCTTGTGTCCCCCCCGGCAGGGCCCTGCTCCAGCTGAGAAGGTGTCAGACACACCAGAGCGTGGCTCTGGGCCTGGGAGCGTCAGAGTTCCCAGCGGCCTTTATTTTGTAATCAATGAATATTTGTCTGAGGAACATGCCAACTAGTCAACAGAAACTCTAACTTTTACATGGTTGTATGTCAATGCAATAAAGTGTAAATCATGTGAACAAAATGCATACTTTATGCCCAAGCACGAAATTATTAAATGTATGCAAACTCTGCCCTGGCCAGTTTGGCTCAGTGGATAGAGTGTCAGCCTGCAGACTGAGGGGTCCCGGGTTCAATTCTGGTCAAGGGCATATGCCTGGGTTGTGGGTTCCATCCCCAGTAGGGGGCGTGCAGGAGGCAGCCAATCAATGATTCTCTCTCATCATTGATGTTTCTGTCTCTCTCTCCCTCTCCTTTCCGCTTTGAAATCAATCTATAATAATAAAAGGGTAATATGCTAATTAGACCGGACGTCATTCCAGAGGTGTTTCTGGATGAAGCCGGCGGGGTTGGAGGGAAGTCCGGGTCCCAGGTGCCAGAGGGAAGCCGGTGCCGGCAGCTGGGGGAAGGAAGGCCGACTCTTGCACGAATTTTGTGCATCAGGTCTCTAGTAAAAATATATTTTAAAAAATTATGCAAACTCATTCAAAAAGTTTTATATTGAAATTATACTGGGAGAAGGAATCAGGTCTGTTTTAATGTATTGGCTATGACGTGATATGGAGGGGAAGCATGAAAAGTAAGGGGCCCTGCTCTCCCAACCCCTGCAGCTGTGGCCAGAGAGAAGCCCAGCCACCACCAGAGCTGCCCAGCAGCAGGGAGGGGTGAGGCTGGGGGGGAGGTGCCCGGTCCACCCTCTGACCTCCTGCTGGTGCCTTGCACTGGCTCGCCCACTGCTTTCCAGCCAGTGAGGGAGCCTGGGAGCTTAAAATCAGAGAGGTCCCCAGACCCCCTCGGAACGGCTGCAAAGATAATCACGGAGCACGTGTGACGCGACCCCGACCGCTGATGTGTACCATGAGAAAGGATTTTCTGGGGACCACCCACAGCACAAGAATGTTAGCCTCCTTATCGTGCTGGCAGCAATGATCTGGGTGAAGGGAGGCCCTCAACTCATCGCGTGCAGCGGCCGCTAGGGCTGGGGTGCAGCGCGCTGCTTGCTCTCTCGAGCTGAGCCGTCACCAGTGTCCCTCTGCACTTGGAGGTGCGTGCCCAGTGCGCGGAGCAGGGAGCTGAGGAGAATGGCACTGTCGGCGTGAAAGGCCCCTTTCCCTCGCATGGTCCCCACTGAAGAAGACAGAAGAGGGTGGTGGTCTGTAACCACACAGACTGGAAAGGGATCCCAGTGTCCCCGGGGCGGGGAACGAGGCGGAAGTGTCCCTTAGCTTTCCCCGTCACAGGAGAGAACTCCGTCTCAGTGGGGGGGAAACTCACGCGGCATCCGGCTTGCTGCTGGTCTCCTTCACGGTCGCCAGAGGCGCGGTGCTTTGGGGATTCAAAGAGGCCAGAGGAACTGCAGCCAAAAGGAAAAATGCAGGAGACGGGAGTGAGATGGCGTGGGGGAGGGGTGCTTAGCCTTTTTATTTATTTGTTTGTTTGTTTGTTTAATTTTTGTTGTCACCCATCACTTCACTGGCATGCTGCTCAGCCAATAGGAGGCAGGACATTTCGTAAACAGCACAAAGGCGGGGGAATTTTCCCATCATGCAAAAGCTACTGTCTGTACAGTATTTTGTAGGTTACAAAGCATTTTCATCTATCTACATTACCTCATTCGGGGCAGGCCTGCCTGTCACCTCCCTTTCCCTGTTTTTAAGAAAGACACAGTGAAATGATATGACCAAGTTTTAGACAGGACCGAGGAAAGACCAAACCCTTCTCTTACCCCCAAAGTAGATAAGGGGCCCCTAAATCTTAAAACATAAAAAACAAAACAAGTCTGTCTCCATTTCTATTTTACCTTTTAAATATATATATATATATTTATTGATTTCAGAGAGGAAGGGAGAGAGAGAAATATCACTGATCAGAGAGAATCATTGATTGGCTGCCTTCTGCACGCCTCCTACTGGGGATGGAGCCCACAACTCGGGCATGTGCCCTTGACCAGAATCAAACCTGGGACCCTTCAGCCCGCAGGCTGATGCTCTATCCACTGAGCCAAACCGGCTAGGGCCATTTTACTTTTTGCCAAAGTTTTCCTCTTTTGTCCTGAACTATCTGGGCAATTGTGTCTTCCTTGTTTTTTGTTAGTGTGAACCTGTTTTTTGTTAGGTGCTGCTAGGCAGTGCTGCCCAGTGGTTAACAGTGTGACATCGCAAGTGTTTAGTCTTTTTTGATATAACAATCGGAAGTAAGCGAGAGTGTTCAGATAGAACGGTCAACTGTCTTGTTCTCAAATTCTCGTCTGTGGGACCAAAATCTTATTGTGGCCTTGACCGCGATGCAGTGGAAGGACTGAGGCTGACCCTCCATGCAACATCATAACGTCCCTCACACAGAGCAGCCGTGCGAGGGAAAGTGCCAGAAAAACCCACAGGGGCCCGGACCTTCCATCACCGGCTCCGTGGACTGCTTTTCTCATTTTTTTAAAATAAAAAATATTAATAGTTTTATGACTACGCTCTTAAGTAAGTGCATTGCATGTTTTCAGAGTATGGGGATATATAAAATATGAAGATTAATAATAATTATGTAACTAAAAATAACATGGACTCTATTTAGATTCCCCTACCTGAAGATCTTTCATTTGGGGCCTGGTGGATGTTGCAAACCTACTTGCAGTTCCTTTGTTGGGGGATTTTCCCAGGGCTTCTTGCAGTACCCCACCCCCTGCCACATGGCCCTCACGGTAGGACTGACAACGCTGAGCCTGGGGGGTTCCTCCCTGCCCACCCCCCACAGCTGGCTTGGGGTGCCACAGCGGCTCGGCCGGGGCTACGCAGGGGTCCTGCCTCAGCAGACTGAACCGAGGGCGGGCCTGTGCACTGTAGGGTGCTCAGCAGCATCTGGCCTCCGGCATGGCCAAGGTCTCCGGGGGTAATCGCCCCCAGCTGAGAAGCACTGGACTTTCAGTACCTCTGCCCACCCCCAGGGGGAGTGAGGATGCCCGGGATGGCTCAGGCACCTGAGGATGGCTACCTTTAGGCACCGGTGTGATATAAAAATAAAAGCATTTTATTTCACAGGAAATAGAGAGCATGTGAAACACTGGACCAATTTTCTGACTTTTACTATCCTTAGACTTTTTTCTCATTGCTAATCTGTGCTACTGTTTACTCTAATAATATGGAAGTTTGGCTGCTGGGCTGTCAGGACCCTTCATCCCATCATCTGGGCCCTGTCCCTTTGCCCCACCCTGACCATCCTCTTCATCCTGAATGTACTCTGCACTTTCCTGCTTTGCACCTGAGCTTCTCGAATAAACAAAACCTGACCTGCTCTTTTCATTCCATCCAATCCATCTCACAGACCAGGATGGTCAACATCCCGCCTTGTCAACCCGCCTGTCATCTCCCAGAGGCCTTCCTTCCTCCCCCGAGAGCAGTGATCACATCCTCCATAAGCACCCACAACAGGTTTAGAACCGAATAACGCATCTTGTATTTTTGAGTTGGTTTCCCGCCATCCCCTCTGCCAGAGGCGAGGAAGTGAGAACTGCTCCTCTTTGCAGCCCCTAGAACATGCTTCTCAAACAATCTGCAGCAAAGAGCCCGTTTTTAAAATTATTATTTACAACCCACATGGACTCGTGCTTCGGTGGAATACAATCAAATGGAGGAGGGAAGCCCTCCCCTGCCATGGCTCTATCTTATTGCCACCGGGGGTGGGGAACGTCCACTGAGGGCCTTACACGGCCCGAGAAATCACTTGGTCTGGCCCTGCCAGGGCATTAATTAAATGTTTGACCAAACATGGCAGGCTAATTTTTAAGTTATAATTTTGAATGGCCTGAGAATGATGTGATAAATACCCCAATGGTCGTTGGCAGAAAAAAGGTTCCCCACCCCACCCCACTACACATTTCTAAATGCTTCTCTCAGTTTCCGTGCCCATTTCATCATGAACTAGTGACAGATAGTTAGGGGACCGGCAGTGTCCACAGACCACCCTTTGAGTAGCACCGTCCTGGACTCAATAGCGTTTACCAGGACAGCAGTCCCAGAGGTAAGCGGGCAAGAGAGCCACCTGGAGGGCTTGTAGAAAGGACAGCTGGCCCCACCCCCCGAGTCTGCGACTTAGCAGGTCTGTGGTGGGGCCTGCAAATTCTCGTTGCTGCTGGTTGGAAACCTCACTTGGAGACTCACTGGGCTACAGAAACAAACAACTATCGGGTACATTGCCCTCGTGTGGCTGCCTGCCCTCGGAAGCAATGGTTTGGGCCACCATGTTGTCAAGCTGAAGGGCTGCAGACAAGAGGAAACCCCGAGAAGCCGTGAGAAGCCAGAGGGCCCCTACCTTGGGGCTGTGCTGAGCCCAGCTCCTCCGCAGCTGGCTGTGCAGGTGATGTCGAAGAACATCGAGGCAACGTGTGAGGTGCCCCCGCAGCTGAAGGCCCCGGAGGTGGCTGGGAGGGTGGGGACTCGGGTGGTGACCCAGTCAGCTGTACCTGCTGCTGTGGTGACACAGGTGACAGGCCAGGTGAGGAGCTGGGCGGTGAGGGCACAGCTGGGAGTGATACAGGTGGCAAGTCAGCCGCAGAACGTGACGAGGAAGAGCCCAGGGTCGATGCGGGTGACTGCTCAGATGAAGAGGCAGGTGGCGAAGCGGGTGACTCCACAGGCCACTCGTGTGTGCATGCAGGTGTCTGTACAGGTGGGGACACAAGTGGGCCACGGCCACCGCTTTCTTGCTCTTTGCGATCGCATTGTGTGGGGAGTTGCGTGGATTCTTCCAGACTGGCCTGCTCTGATTGGAGGCTTGGCTCACTGTGTTCCGGGCGCGCGTTGCCCAGGGCGAGTTCTATCTGGCAGTACACTTCCACCCGGGGGAAGATGACCCTCTTGGAGGGAGAATTAAGGTAAGCAGCGTCTAGGAAACACAAGCATGGGTCACAGGTGGCATTTCGAACCTCCGACATCGGCATGGTGTTTGCAAAAAACACTTTTCCAAGTTACTCTCATAAACAGGATTATTTCCCACCGGTTGCCTTTCATTACTTGCTTGGATTGATTGACATTGAGTATTTGATTGCGGATTAATCCACGTGTTCAGTGGATATTTATTGAGCATCTCTGTGTGCAGGCACTGTGCCTGGCACTGAGGAGGCGAAGGAGACAGAAACAGGTGTGATGGTTCCTCCGCCCGGAGCTTACAGCCCAGGGCGGGGGCAGGCCCTGATCTCAAGTTTTAATCAAGACAAGTGTTAGGCAGGGGAGGAACGTGGGCCTAGCAGAGAGGGAGGCAGGGAGGACTTAACTGGGAGGCTTCCCCGAGGGAGGGGCATTTAAGCTGAGATCTGAAGGCCGAGTGAGTGGTCCAGGGGATGGGCAGGCGGGATGGGCAGGAGAGTCAGGCAGAGGGAGCAGCATGCACAAAGGTCACAGGCCTGAAGGAGCACCAGACGTGGGGTCCTGAAAGGTAGTGTGGCTGGAGCCTGCGGGGGGCGGGGGGTGGCTCTGTGGTTGGGGATGGGGCTGAGGAGCAGGGACCGGATCTCTCAAGGGCTGGTAGGCAGCACTGAGGACTCTTAATTTTCATGGGGACCATGAAGCCTTCTAGGCAGGGAGGCGCCCCCCTGACTCTGGTTTTGACAAGGTCGCTGTGGCTGGGTGTGGAGACTCACTGACAAGGGCACAGGGGGCCGGGAAACCTGTCGGGTGGCTGCGGAGCTGTGTGGGGCTTGCGCCTGGAAGAAGGTGAAGGAAGTAGAAGTTCTGTTTGGGAGGCAAGTGGGTGAGGATCGGTGAGGGACTGATGGGGGCTGAGGGGAGGTAGGTGGCTTGCACAATCGATGGATGCTGGTGCTGTCTACTGAGAATAGGCCATGGGAGGGATGGACGGGGAGAGGGGGGAAGAGAGCTCAGGTTAGGAGCTTGTTTTGGGACACGTTGAGTTTAGGGGCCTTGGAGATACCCAAGGAGAGACCAGTGGGCAGTGTGCGTGTGGATTTGGATTCTAGAGACGAGGGTTAGAGGTTCATATGTATTGGAAGCCCACCGGGCGGTCACTGGGGCTGTGGTGGTGGGTGTGCAGGAGACTCCTGGGGAGGGAAAGCAGGTGAGAGGAGGGGCCGGGATTGAGGCAGACAAGCAGAGGGGCCCAGGGCAAGTTTCCTAAAACAGGCAAAACTGGGAAGATTCCAAAGCCGCTGGGAAGAGGACCCGCACGCAGCCCAGGAGAAAACATTTACAAATAGTATTCCTGACAAAGGGCGTTTATCTAGAATTCCTTAAAGCTCTTAAATGAGAAACAAACAATCCCATGTTTCAAATGGGCAAAGGGCCAACTGAAAGAGCTCCCACTGGCCAAAGCTGGGACAATTTGAGAAAAAACTTAGAGTTGAATAAGAACCCTGAGTATAAAATAAGTGCCCAGGAGTTCACACAAAACAAGCAAGACGACTGCCTGAGTGATGCAGATGAGACCCATCGTCCACGCAGAAGCAGCCCACATGCTTTATGGGGGCGCCCTGACCTTAAGGACAGGAGACGGATTCCTCGCCTTTTCCGTGTGCGCTATGCATAGACTTCCTCCCGGAAAGCACAGGGTGGGGAGAGGAGAAAGGGTGACTTCACCAGGAGAACCTGACCAGCACCGCTGCAGCCAGGTGACCGAGGCCACACCACCGGTGACCGTCAGGTGGGCGGCGGGCACCCCTGTGGAATGTGCTGAGGCGGCACTTTGCCTCTTCGGTCTTCCTTCCTCCAACCCAGGACCCCGTCTAATCATGGGGCAAACATCAGACAGACCCCAACTGAGGGGCAGTCTACAGAGTCTCTGGCCAGGACTAAACCCTGCCAGTCACTAAAAACAAGGAGAGTCTGAGAAACTGTCACAAACAAGGAGAGTCCGAGGGGACATGACAACGGCACGCGGCGTGCTTTCCTGGATGGGGACCTGGGTTGGAGTGAGGACCTCAGGCAGCAACTCAGGAAGTCTGAGCAGAGTGTAGCCTTGGTTACTAGGCACCCTGTGACACCTAACAAAGGGAAACCTGGGTGCGGGATGTACGGAAACGCTGTACTGTTTTTATATTTTTCTGTAAATCTAAAACTGTTCTAAAAATAAAGCTTATGAAAGGTCTAGGGGGAAATGGGCAAAAGAGTTGAACAGACACGTCCAAAGAAGCTCTTTGGACGACTAATAAGCAAATGAGAAGATGCTCAGCATCATCAGCCACCAGGAAGAGGCAACTTCAAGCCAGTGAGACCCCGCTGCACGCCTCTCAGGACAGCGCAGATGGAAAAGACCTGCCACAGTAAGTGTCGGTGAACACGGGGGCACCTGGAGCTCTCCTCACAGCTGGAGGGAGTGGAGAATGATACAGCTGCTTTGGAGGACCGCGGGGTGGTCTCCTAACAAGCTAAATCCGCATTCTGGGAATATGCCTCAATCTGCACATGTCCAAACGAATTGAACATCGAATCTCAAAGAGATATTTGCACACCCTTCCATTGCAGCATTATTTACAATAGCCAAGAGGTAGAAGCAACTATATGTCCATTGATGAACAAATGGCTAAAGAAAATGTGGTATATACACACGTTGGAATATTCTTCAGCCTTAAAAATGAAGAAAGTCCTGTCACATGCTACAACATGGATAAACCTTGAGAACATTGTAAGTGAACTAAAAGGCAAATACTGTGTGCTTCCCTGATGTGAGGGATGTAAAGTAATCAAACCCGTAGAAATAGAAAGAGGAGCGGTGGTTGCCAGGGCCTGGGTGGGGAGAAATGGGGAGTTGGGGGCCAGTGGGTATAGTTTCAGTTTTGCAAGATAAAAAGTTCTGGAGGTTAGCTGCACAACAAAGTCAACACGCTTAGCACTACTGAGCTGTCCACTTACTAGTGGTTGAGACGGTACACTTATGTTATGTGTTCTTATCACAATTTTATATATGCAAATTATATATAATTATATTATATAACGTAATTATCATAATTATATATATAACACATCTACCATGTGATCTAATCATTCCACTCCTGGGTATGATCAGAGAAATAAGAGCATATGTCCATACTGAGACACAGATATGAGTATTTATAGCAGCTTTATTCATAACAGCCTGAGGTGCATACAACTTAAATGTCCATTAACAGGTGAATGGCTAAATGAACGGTGGTATAGTCATACAAGGGAATGGAATGTAAAAAGGAATGAACTATTTATATCGTGCAACAACATGGGTGAATCTTTGAATAATTACGCTGAGGGAGAGAATGCAGCCAAAAATAAGGTTTCACAGTATAAGATTCCATTTCTCAAAAACTCTAGAAAATGCAATTGGTCTGTAATGACAGAGAGTAGATCAGAAGTTGGGGTGGGTGAGGGGAGGTGGGAGGAATCACTGAGGGGCACGAGGAGACCGGGCGTGATAGATTGTTCGCCATTCTGACGGGGAGCTGTCTCACAGGTGTGTGTGTGTGTGTGTGTGTGTGTACACATCGAATTGTGAGAGGCAGGGAGGGAGAGAGAGGGAAGAATGGCAGGAAGGCAGGAAGGAGGGAAGGAGGAGGGTAGGTTTGGCTGGACAGGTCTGGATGCCACGTGGCTATTTTTAGACATGGCGTCCTTTGAGCTCCAACCTCACTCAGTGCCCAGGTGCACAGCTCGGTTCGCAGGTGTGTGTGTGTGTGTGTGTCTGTGTGTGTGTGTGTGTGTGTGTGTGTGTCCCCTCAAGCACACAGCAAGCAGGGAGATATGTGTGTCCTCAAGCACACAGCAAGCAGGGGGCTGCTGCAGGGAGGCAGATGGAGGGAGACTTGCCGGGCACACAGCAAGCAGGAGGCTGCTGCAGGGAGGCAGATGGAGGGAGACTTGCCGGCAGCAGGAATAGTGAGGGGGAGGTGAGCCCTTAGGAGGGAGGGGGTGACACCTGTGGGTGCAGCTTCCTGTGGAGCTGACCACCCTCCAGTGGGGCGGGAGGCTGGAGTGGACTCGCCTTTTCCGTTCCGGATGGCAGGTGGGGATTAAAACCGCACTTACTCAGGCTGGGTGGGTCCCTCCCGCGCTCCCTGTGAAGGAGGCGGATCCAGCCCATCTAAACCCCAGGGGCTTGGGGTGGGGGCGCTGAAACCTGCGCTGAGAAAGCCGCACTGGCAGATGGAAGCGGAAGCAACCCTGGCCGGTGGCCAGCAGGAGACAGCGTCTCCTTTAGCATCTTTCCTACTGGGGGTGGTTCCAGGGCCCCTGGGAAATCCCGCCACCCTCCATATACTGCCCGGGTCAGGAGTGGATGCTGAAATGCAGGGTTTCAGCCTTGTGCTTAGGACACCATTCATACCTGTGAACACGTCCACACCAGCTAAGGGGGGGTGGGGGGAGGGCGCTGGGTTCCTCCCGCAGGAGGAAGGGTGGGAGAAGGTGCTACTGAGAAACGGGGGACGAGTTCCCTAGGGCCTGCCCTGAGAGGAAGAGAAGGGAAAAGTTCTAGGGGAGAGGTGGGTATGGAGTAGCCTGGTAGCCAGGCTGAAACTGGGGTGTAGAGGGGTCTCCTGGGGCAGGGGATTGGTGTCTGCTCCGAGATCTGAGCCCCAAATCAGGGGGTCTCCCTAAGCCCCAAGTCCCCAGCCTACACCATCATTGAGGAGAGTGGAGGGGCTCCCCAGCTGGTAGCAGAAAGGACCCTAGGCCCCAGCCAGCCCCTCCTATTCCTGAGGCCCCATCTATACCCCCCATGACACCCTTCATGTTGTTCACCTTTTGGATACTTGGGGCTCACTTTTCACAGCTGTCGCCTGTGTAAATGAGGATGGGGGAGTTGTCAGAGGAGGCAGGGCCAGGAGGAGTCTGTCCTGCCGAGGGGTGCAAGGAGGGGCCTGTCTCTGGGCTCCGAGGGGGCAGAGACTGGATTGACCATGGCAGAGATATGGGACTCTGCTGTCCTCAGTAAGAACCGCCAGCTATTGGAGAATGGTGCTGAGGGCTCCGTGGCTTTGCTCCTCTGATCTTCACGATAACCTCTGAGGAGGTTCCATGATTAGCCCCTTATACAGATGAGAAAACTGAGGCCCCAGGAGGTTATCTACCTGCTCAAGATCACACAGCTGGGAGGTGTCAGGAATGGGGATCTAAACCCTTTTCACAGATTAGGAAACCAAGACTCAGAGAGGGGGAGTGGATTCCCTGAGCTCACACAGCTGCAGGGAAGGAATCCTGGCCCAGGCTGAGTGCCTCGGAGCCCCCATTCTCTCCCACCCCCACCCTTGTTGGGAGAAAGGACCCAGGAGAACATAGAGTCAGGACAGTGGGAGCTTGGGAAAGCAGGAAGCAATTGTGAAGGGGAAAACTGACTATATCCTGGGGGGAAAAAACTCACTCAACACCTTAATCTCACTCCCAAAATATTTCCTAAATCTGTACACACAACAAGCACAACACAGCATTGCTGATCATAGTGAATGTTTGAAAACTCAAAGGGATGATCAGTTTTCTGCACAACCAACTGCCCAGAGGACAATCATGAAGACCCTGGGGCACATGGGAAAAACTTACGGTTTTTACGGGAAACGCCCTTTGAGCCAGGAATCCCTTCTCTTGGAAATTAACTCTAAATATGGAAAAGCTTTTTTCTTTCCACTTAACAGAGACGTTTGCCATGACCTTCCTCATGTTAAAGCGTGTTATACATGTCATCGGAGTCCTCCTTCTACCAAATCACAGAGGACACACAGGTGCGGGGCCACGACCTCCAAACCAGCACAGGCCAGGGCTCCTCTCTCGCATGTGCTGAGCCGCACGTCCTTCAGAGCCTCAGATAAACATAAACCTGTCCCATGTAGTTTCTACATTAACAATATGGCCCTTTTGGAAAGAGAATGAAATGACACGAAAATGGAAGATACGAGCTATGTATTTCCTACATATAGTTTTTCTATCCAGAAATATGTTTGTGCAAAGCCCTAGACACTGTCCCCCTCAGGTAACCGAAACGCCGCCTTTGCACGGAGATCCTCATTTCTGGCCACAGTGGCCTGTCCTGGACAAGGCAGTTGTCAGTCCTGCACCCATTTCTGGCTCTCCAGGTCCCCAACGTGGGGGAATGCTCCCCTGCTCAGCTCTCCTACTTCCTGCCTTTGCCCACCCTCTGGGCCTCCCTTCATCGGGGCTCCACGTGGTACTTACTCAGCCGCCTCAAGTACAGAACGGCGTCTTCGTACCCTCGGTAGTAGTAATTGTGCAGGACCTGCGAGGGGGGCACACCGGGAAGAGACTCAGGCTGCCGCAGCAGCGACAGCGCGGTCCCCTCCCCAGAGCAGCTGCTTTCGCCTTTTATTTGACGGGCTCTTCAAATGTGCCTGTCCGGTCCCATCCCTCTCTCTCTGCCAAGGACTGGGAGCAGTTCCTGTGTCCATAGTGACACTACACCAGTGTGCTAGACCTTGCGCAGCTGCCCACCAGCTGCCCCTGGCCGGAGACGCCGAGGTGTTTGGAGCAGAAGCAGGGAAAGTGCATTTGGACCATATGAAAAGCCAAGTTTGGAGACTGGGTTCAAGTCCCAGCGCTGCCACTTACTGGCTGTGGGGCTCTGTGGGTGTAACCTCTCACAGCCTCAGTTTCTTCATCTGTAAAATGGGGTAATAATAGCATCTATCACAGAGGATGCTGAAGGATCACACGAGATATTGCCCTCAAAACCTTTTCTGTAAAGGGCCAGGTAGCAAATATTTGGGGCTTTGCAGGCCATACATAGTCTGCCATTTCTTCTTCTCCTCCTCCTCCTCCTCCTCCTCCTCCTCCTTCTTCGTCTCCTTCTTCTTCTTCTTTTTCTTCTTCTTCTTTTTCTTCTTTTTTTACAGTCATTTGTTATATTTTATGTTTTATTTTTACTGAATATATTGGGGTAGTACTGGTTAACAAAATTATATAGGTTTCAGGTGCACAACTCTACACACATCATCTGTACACTGTATTGTGTGTTCACCGCCCATTTTACAGCCTTTAACGGTGGAAAGCCCACGCTTAGCTCACAGGCTGTACAAAAACAAGGGAGGGGGTGGATCTAGCCCCCGGGCCACAGTTTGCTGACCTGGCATCGCACATCCGAGTGGAAGAGCTCAGTTACCATCCCATCAGCGATTCTGACATCACCTTATTTACAGGGGAGGACATTAAGGCTGGGAGCCCTTAGGGGACATGTTCAAGGTCACACAGCTCATTAGCGAAAAGGCCAGGACGCAGGTCTAGGAGGAAGTTTAAGGGAACATTCGAGGGGAGGAAATATGGGAACTGAGTGGGCCCCACTGGCTTCCCCATTGCACCCCCCACCCCCACCCGGGCCCCTCCAGGCCCCCCTCTCTCACCATCAGGTCCGGAGGGAACAGGGCATGGGTCATCCTGGCGATGTTCTCCAGGGAGAACTGGAAGGAGCAGTTGAACATGCGGAAGTCGTGGAAGATGGCGGGGCAGTCCCGGGGGCAGATGTCCTGCTGGCCGCTGAAGGTGGAGATGGTGATGGAGTCGGTCCAGAAGGCGCAGGGCTGCATGCCCGTGAAGCCGCCGTCGATGTACCGCTGTGGGGGCAGAGTAAGAAATGCGCGCCTGGCCAGAGGGCCTCTCCCCACGCGGGGAGGACACAAGGACAAGCCCTACACTGAGGCCCGGGGGCTGGGTGATGGGCTCAAGGTCACTCAGGTCCAAGCTGCCCCTCTGCCGAGCCAGGCACCCTGACCGGCCACGTGTCCACCCTCCAGGCCCTTCCCCTCTGGGGTTTTGGTTCCTCAGCTGAGAACAAAGGCGCAGACCCTCTGGGGTCACTGAGAACTACACCGACATGCAAGCTGGGCTCCATCTAGAGCTGAACCTTGTCCGGACCTCATTTTCTCCATAAGATGAGGAGGGGGTGAGCTAGACCCTCTGATCGGAGTGTGGTCTGGGGACCAGCAGCGCCGGCTCAGGCGCAGTCTCGTGCCCTGGCCCAGACCTACTGGGGCAGGATTTGCATTATTTTACAAGATCCCCGAGCGATTCGTGGGCACGTGGAAGTTGGCGAGGCACTAGCCTAGATGACCTCAAAGGTCCCCATCACTCAAGGTTCCAGGTCCCCACGGCGCAGGGCCTGTGTCCTAGGCTCCCTGTCAAGCCTGGGAAAGTCTGTAAAGTCGGAGGCATCTTGATTTGCTGGGCTCAGTAATGGGTTGGTGCATCCAGAGAGAAGCCCAGCCTAGTTGGGGAAGTTCCTCTTAAGGCCCCAGAAGTCCATCTACTATATGGGGAATTCTGAGTAGGAAAACATAAGAACCTTCCCAACTCCTGGTCTTCCCGCCGAATTCTGAGACCACCCCCTGCTGTCCCAGCTGTGGTCTGGGGCCGAGGCACCCCTGGGCCCCGGCTCAGCCCCGCCCAGCTTCAGCACTCACCACACCGCGGTAGGTAGGGGGGATGAGGCCGCAGTACACGGGGACAAAGCAGCTGCAGTACAGGGCCTGCGGGGGGAGAACAGGGCTGAGACGCCTGAGGCCCTGGGGGCTGGGGGGACCTGCAAGCCCCCGGGACACGGCCAGCCACACTTTCCTTAAACCCAAGGTGGAGGCCCTGCCTTCCTCCCAGTTCAGTCCCTGTCCTGGCCCTGACTAGCTGGGTCCTTGGTGACAACTTGGTCACAGGTTTAAAGGCAGAGGGTGACCTCAGTGATCTCCAGGGTCCCTTCTGGGACCAAAGTTCCATAAATCCAATGGGATTCCACCACCATCACTGTGCATCCGGCTTGGGTCAGGTCCTCAAAGGAGGGTGAGATACCCACACTTGGGAATGCTGCAAGAGGGGAGTAGGCAAGCAGGTGACAGTACAGGGTGACAGGTGCTGTGGGGGAGGTGAGCAGGGACATTGTGGCCCCAAAGAAGCACCCAGCTTAAGGGGGTGTGGGGCGGGCAGATGGAGGAGAGTTCCAGCAGGCATGACTGGAGTCTTCTACGGCAGGTGAAGGGGAGTGAGAACGAGAGAAGGGCTTCCCTGGCGGAGGGCACAGAAGGTGCACAGGCACGAAGACCTGCTTGGTGTGTGGTCTGTGCTGGTTGGCCCGGGTAGACGAGGAAGGTGGTAGGAGGCTGGAGAGGAAAGTCTTGAAGAGCTGGTGCCAACAAACCCAGGGACACGAGGTGGCGGAGGAGTATCCACGTGCATTGCCTGTTCACCCTCCACCCAGGATCATGGCCAGGCCAGTGTGGGGATGAGAGGATGGGTGGCAAGGGCCTTGTCGTCAGAGGAGGGGAGGGGAATAGAAATGTGGGACAAAGTCATGCAGCGCAACCCCTTTGTCAGGAAAGAAAATTGGGTCCACCCCCAGCCCTCCCCAGCAAGAGCAACTCAGCTAGGAGCTCTGTTAATGAGGCTAGAACAGTGCAGCTTTGTTGTGGTTTGCTCTGGTTGGCACAGGTAGACGAGGAAGGTGGTAGAAGGCTGGGGAAGCAGGACCAGCCTGCCCTCCAACCTGCCCTTCTGCAACGCACTCTAGCCCCGCCCCCGCCCCCACCCCAC